ACTTTGCTAATAACTTTGCTAATAACTTGCTAACGCTTGGGAGGCGAACTTTTCAAATAATTTTTTGTACACTTTTGCTCTGTTTGTTTTTTCAAAACAATCTTAATTTATTTCGGTAAAAAGCTAACAAAAATTGTTCGGTTTTCGTGCCAAATTCGAAACTGAAAAGGGGTTTCTAAAATTCCATGCAAACGGATGAATGAGGCGAATTCTCACGCAAAATTACTATTTTTACAAAACGCCGAAGGAGACGAGTAATTTATATATAATATATTTGCGGAAAATACCTTAAAATTGGCAGTATTTTTAAGTGAATTTTGAGACAATTGAACAGTTTTCCAAATAGTTTATTATAGGCTTTTGTTCTGATCGTTTTTTGGGCAAACTTTAACTTTTTCGAAAAAAAAGAAAGATAACTTTGTTTCGATTCTGTCCCAAATTTAGAGAGGTAAAACGGGTATTCGAGAAAGATACCAAAAAGAAGATAAAGATCAAGCTATAAGGACGACGGCTTTTCTTGTAAAATCGATCTCTTAATGTTTTTGCAGAAAAAACTCGGTTTTTGCGTATAAAGAATTGATTAGGAAAAACTTTGCTAAACCTGGATAGAACCTGAAATTTTAAAGAAACTTTTAAAATCTGCATAGCAATGAGGGTGGCGAATTTTCTAAATAACTTTCGCAAATAATTTTCGAAAAGGGTTTCCTAAAATTCTCTGCAAAACGATGAATGAGGCAAATTTTCTAACGAAATTAAATTTGTCATTTTTAGCTGAAAATGATGCATGATTGTCATCAAAAAATAAAATGAATGAAAAACGCATCAGAAAATAATGAGTTTTTTGAGCTTCATAAATAAATGGATAAATAAATTTATAAATTTGTTTTCGTTTTTGTCTCGAATGCAACGCTGAAACAAGTTTTTGTCAAATTCCTACAAAGGTATAAATTTATTTATTTATTAGGTTGGATTCGTCGCGTAACGGACCCCCAGATTGTCAGTATTTTCAAGTAAAACTCTACAAAATAGAGTGTTTTTGACTAAAAAGTAAAGCAATTAAGAAATGCAGTTAAAACTTAAGAAAACACAGTTTTTTAACAAACTCTACAGTCTTCATAGGGATCGGGGTGACGAGTTTTATAAAAGACTCTCAGTTTGCCAGTAGTTTACAGTAAAGCGTTAGAAAAAAGCGTTTTTCTGTTTAGAGAAAGTTTTGAAGAAATATTGACCCTAAAGTGAACGGTGGGGGTTTTCCAAATGATTTATTATACATTTTCCCTTATTCTGTTTTTATTTTTGTCCCAAATTSGAAGCTGGAAAGGGATTTCAACATTTTTTACTAATGTTGTGTTCTAATAAAATTTAGAWTAAGTTAGATATTTTTTCAGTATTTTTAGTGAAASTTTTGACAATTGAGCACTTAGAAGAAAGAGTAACTTTGCTAAAACTAGGAAATCCTGAAATTTTGAAGAAACTTCAAAAGTGCGCCGGTGAATTGGGTTAACGCAGCAATCCATTTGTGCCACTGCGCCAACTCCTCAAAATTCACTTACCCAGGCCTACAAGCCACTCTGTAAATGTACGAATTCTGAACTGCTTGGATAGAAAATGGCCGTCATTTTGAAAATGTATTATAAACAGTTTTACCGTATTTATTAGGCATATTTTTTTAATTTAAAGTTATGCGTTCTCCTACATGTTTCAATCCAGTTTTGTATCGTAAATCATTTGAAATTATCACCTCTTTTCCTTCAATTTTAAAGAAAACTTACCTCGTGCAACTAGCAACTTGACACAGTCAACACTGTTGACCTTAACAGCAATGGATAACGCAGTTTCATATCCAGGCCCGTTTGTCATGGAGTTGATCCTGGCTCCATTATCCAACAAAAGCCTTGCGGTATCCGGATTTTTTGCCAAGACTGCACAGTGCAAAGGGCTGTAGTACTGATTGATCAGATTAAGGGTGCTGCGATCCACCAAAATCAGGAACTTTGCGCTGAAGACACAGCCGCTGAATGAAGCCACATGAAGAGCAGTCATACCGTGAACGTGTTCCGAATATCTGCAATTTTCATTGGGAAAATTTGAGGTGTTCTGCGCTTAGGTACAGAATAGGGATGGTCGGTATTTAACGTAACCGCTAAAATAACAGTGTTCCAAACGTGTAACSYAAAACCGTAGTTRCAGCTAGTCGATGTAACCGGTTTTTTTGGGAACCGTCTCATAAAACAGAAACAGTTTTGCGCACTTYGCACCAGCTGCAGCCGTTTGCCGATTTAAAGGTTGTTTTTGGAACSGTTTCATAAACCTGAAAARGTGGTTCGCGTCAGCAGGGAACCGATTAAAAGGATGGTCGGTATTTAACCTAACCGCTAAAATAACAGTGTTCCAAACGTGTAACCTAAAACCGTAGTTACAGCTAGTCGATGTAACCGGTTTTTTGGGAACCGTCTCATAAAACAGAAACAGTTTTGCGCACTTCGCACCAGCTGCAGCCGTTTGCCGATTTAAAGGTTGTTTTTGGAACCGTCTCATAAACCTGAAAAAGTGGTTCGCATCAGCACAGAACCRATTAAAAGGATGGTCGGTATTTAACGTAACCGCTAAAATAACAGTGTTCCAAACGTGTAACATGAAACCGTATTCTCGTAAAACGTATTCTCCATTTACAGTCATGGCGAACAAAAACTTGA